TTAGGGGAGCGGGGAGCTGATGGGAGGCTCCCGGTCCACCCTGGTTCCAAGCCCCCACCAGCTAGCTCCAATGGGCTGCTCTTCCTGCAAGCAGTGGACAAAGCAGGCGGCTGCCAAACGATGTTAGAAGGGAGCATTGCACAACTTTAAACGAGCTTGTTCCCTAATTGATCAGCAACGTAACAACGTTAACCAGGATGACTTTAAGTGAGGACTTACTGTACAGTCAAAAATAAATACAGACTCATCAAAATTAGAAAGTGGAGAAAAAGTCCATCCTAGCTGCAAACACCATCCATTTGCACGTAGATCCCAGTCCAGACTGCACACTTCCTCCTCAAAAGCCTCAAAAAGTTTTTTTGCAGCATGCCCTGAAGATCATCAGATTTGGGTGATTTTTGACCCAAGGTCAAGGCTGGAATAAATTCTGAAGTTCAAGGCCCTTCACAGACAATGCCCTTCCAGCAGCTCCCATCTCTTTTAAACAGAGGGGGGTCAGCTCAACTACTTCTAATCAAAACTGCACCATTGGTATCACCTAGGGAGAGAGATGGTCTCAAGTAGGCAGCTCCGACCCATTTAAAAACTGACCGGTCAATACCAAGACCTTAAATTCCACCTGGCAATTACAGGCAGCCAATACAGAGCACCAATTTCATGTGTTCAAGTGAGAAAGGACAGTTACCTGTTCCATAACTGGCGTTCTTCGAGATGTGTTGCTCCTGTCTATTCCACAGTAGGTGTGCGTGCTCACCACGTGCACCGATGCCGGAAGTTTTTCCCTTAGCAGTACCCATACTGGTGGAGCACCGCGGCGACCCCTGGAGTGGCGCCTGTATATCCCGCTATACAACTCCGGCAGAGGGGAAGGAGGGCGGGGTGTGGAATAGACAGGAGCAACACATCTCGAAGAACGCCAGTTACGGAACAGGTAACTGTCCTTTCTTCTTCGAGTGATTTCTCCTGTGTATTCCACAGTAGGTGATTCCAAGCAATATCTATTGAAGGTGGGTAGGAGTTCACAATGGCTTAGGACGACATACCGCCCTGCCGAACCCAGCATCATCCCTAGACTGGGAGACGATCGCGTAATGCGAAGTAAATGTGTGTACTGAGGCCCACGTGGCCGCCCTACAGATGTCCTGGATGGGGACATGGGCGACGTAGGCAGCTGGTGAGGCCTGAGCCCTCGTGGAGTGTGCCCTGATGATCGGTGGCGGGGGAATCCCCGCCAGTTCATAGCACGTACGTATGCATGAGGTGGTCCAGCGGGAGAGCCACTGGGTGGAGACAGGCTGCCCCTTTGCCCGCTCGGCCGAGGCAATAAAGAGTTGAGAGGATTTCCAGAACGGCTTAGTTCGGTCCAGATAAAAAGGCAGCGCCCTACACACATCGAGCATGTGAAGGCAGCATTCCTCGTTAGAGGAGTGGGGCTTAGGACAGAGCACGGGGAGAAAGATGCTCTGCTCCGAGACCACCTTCGGGAGAAACGCCAGGTGTGGGCGGAGCTGGACTTTATCCCTATGGAAAACTGTATAGGGAGTTCTGAGGTTAAGGCCCTGAGCTCCAAGACACGTCGGGCCAACATGATCACCATGGGGAAGGCCCCCTTCCACGAGAAGTGCGACCAGGAACACGTGGCCAGGAGTTCAAAGGGGGGCCCCCGTGAGACGGGACAAGACCAGGTTGAGGTCCCATTGCGGCACGGGGGGCCTAGCGTACGGGAACGAACGCTCAAGGCCCTTCAGGAAACGGGAGGTCATTGGGTGGGAGAAGACCAAGTGTCCCTGCACCGGCGGGTGAAAAGCCGATATGGCCACAAGGTGCACCCTAACTGAGGCAGGTGCCAGACTGAAGACGATCCACGAATGGTACCACTAAGGTCAAGAAGTGCTGCAGCAGAGCTGGAGCACAAAGTTCCGACTACCTTCACTGGCGGCAAGAAGGAACTGGGGGGGAGCCCGTGGCTCCCCTTATAGCGTGATATACAGGCGCCACTCCAGGGGTCACCACGGTGCTCCCCCAGTATGGGTACTGCTAAGGGAAAAACTTCCGGCACCGGTGCACGTAGCAAGCACGCACACCTACTGTGGAATACAAAGGAGCAATCACTCGAAGAAGAAACTCCAATTAACAAGTAATCCACCATATTCTTCACCATCTTTACTTTTAAATTGATTTAAGGTATTGTCCCATCTAGATTACATTGCTACAGTGTAACCTCAAAGTGACACAGTGACATGGTGAATAAGGTCTGCACCCAAGAGAGTTCGAACTTCTTGGCTAGATGAAGACAGCCAGCCATCCTGTCCAAGAAGCTAGTGAATCAACAATACACTTAAAAACAAATGGCAAGCACAACCCCTGAATTAAAGAGGCAACATAATCCTCACCATTTCATCAGGCTGCTTTTCCGATCCTACCATCTTCACACTCTTATCCCGATTAAGCTATAGCCGTCTATCTTAGTCACTAACATGGCCCCCACGAGTGTAATATAAATTTTAATGTCAAGTATCAGGGGGTAGCCGTGTTAGTCTGTATCTACAAAAACAACAAGGAGTCTGGTGGCACCTTAAAGACTAACAGATTTATTTGGGCATAAGCATATTTTTGGGCATGAGTCTGAGGCCACGCGCCGACATGTGCATATGTGATGCCACTTGCCAGACTCACCCTATGGCCGTCACAGCTGTGCCTGAGGTCCATGTACTCCCCATCCAGATATCATGAACGAATGGGTCACAGTCCCTCAGATCCTGGGAGAGCCTGCCTGGCGGCTAGACCTGGGGAGCGTGAGAAAAGGGGTGGCGTTCTCTGGCCACTCCCTGACAACTCTTATTATGGATGCGTCAGGGACACACTGCGGTGCCTGCAGATGCAAGGCACATGGTCTCATTGTGAGCTGAACCTACCCAGGACTGTCCTGGAGCTGAGGGCCTATGTAGCGTTCCTGCCTGTTCTTCCAAACTCCACCATGCAAATCCTGCCAGCACATCTGGGCAGCGCTCGATCGTCCCGGAAGCCATCAAGCTCTAGTAATAGTACCGTCAACATGGGCCGACCCCACTGGCTGTCCCCCTTCCAGGGGTCGGCAACAACCTGGCTGACTCCCGGAGCAGACCAGGGGGCCAGCCATGAGTGGTCACTGCAGAAGTCCATCCTAGACGCCCACCATACACTTCTTGGCCACAGAGCACACCACCAAGGGTCTGAACTTCTGCTCCAGGGAAGGCCTGAGCCCAGGTTCCCTGCTGGATGCCTTTTTCCCCTGACACAAGATAGACCGGACATGGCTGTAATCATCCCGATGGCCCCTGGCCAGGAGAGTTTTGGCTCTGACCTGTTACAGATGTCCAGGGGCAGCGTCCTCCCCTCCCCTAATATTCCTCCCGGCTTGTACCAGTGTAATAGCTCAGAACCAAGATCAGAGATGCACTGAGAGGGCCTGGACGCTGGCTGGCCGAGCCCTACTGAATTTGCAGGGTGCAGTTGCTGCCAGGATATTTTTATGCAAAACAAGAAACCTTCCACCAGGAAAGCTTATTCCTCGAAATGGAAGAAATT